AGCCGCGTTCCATCGTCATCATCATTATCATCATCGTATAGCCGAATACATAGAAGTTAAATCGCCGACTGCTGCAAAGCGCATTATGCATGCAAAGGACGAATGTAAAACGTGAATGGGAAGCGAACCGGATCTGAGAGGGGAAAAAATGGGAACCTCCATGAGTAACACAGAAAACACCATTTTTCTGAGAATGCACTGCATCTCCTGTGTTCGGACCTGATTTGAACTAAAAGGAATATCGCTGCTATCGGCTCCCTGTTATGTCCCTCATTATTTTAAACCAGTTACTCTTTTGGATCACAACCACAACGCGGAAAACGGTTACTTTACTTGATCTCTCTGAGCATTTGTATGATTTATCTGTTGACGTTCCCGTTAGGTTTTCCACACTGGAGAGCTGCAGGTTTCATTTTGTCACAGTGTGAATTACAGTAAAAGGAGGAAATCCCCATAGAAAAAAGCATAATTTAAAAGGCAGCATTCACATAAGATTCACTTTAATGGCTACGGTGCGGTAGACGACTGTTACGCATGAGAAACACGTGTCCCAACCGGTGAAGTCTTTTTTATCGGAATTCGATGTGATAACGAATGAACCGTCGAAGTATAGTTTCATGTACGACAGCTTACCTTGATGTTCTTTGTCTGCTCGCTTCATCACACTAGCGCCAAACTGGACCAGAGAGACGATGCTGTCTAGGAGGCGCTTTGAACTGCCCGCACATTAAACAGAGAACACGATCAACTACTTAAGTTCTGTAAAGATCACCGGTTGTTCCTATGTAGTAAAACTCTCGTCGGACGGCAACAAGCTTTTCTGGTTCAGTTCAGTTTTTACAACCACTAACCATGTACTTTCATGCATCGGTTTTGGTTGCTGTCTTTTGGCCACCCATTTGGATAAAACAGTAGAATGATGATTAGAATGTTTGGAGTAAATTCAAGCAGAAGACAGAGAATTCATAGACTGGTGTTAAGAGAATAATGATTGAATACACAATCGCCACTGTTTGCGACACCCAGCCATATCACTCAGTCTCTAACCATCGGTGGGTATCATCTCGGGGTCCTCCTAATCTTTACAGATACGGCGCCAAATAACCGTGGGTGAACGAAAAAATACAGGTACAAAAGCAGGGAAAATAAAACAGTCAACTTCGGGGAGTCACAATTTGTTTGTTTGTTTATTGCACGCCATTTTGAGTATTTTTCACTTTTGTTTATTTTTGGGATGTCAGTCAAGAGAGGATGCATTCACACTACTGACTTCGGTTCGATGCCATATCCCGCAGTGTCTCCAGCCAAAGACAATGTGAATATTTGGGGGGCCCAAACGGGGAGCCGAAGAACCCCAAAGGAAGCCAGATCCAACTGGCGTCCGCTCTCCTCGAGTCAGCGACGGACACAGATCGATCACATCGTGATGAGCCACAAATGGCGGGGATGTATTCAAGACTTCCGATCGTACTAGAGCACTCCCCTTGAATCCAACCATGCGTTAGTATGCGCTAAGCTGTCTATGTGCTTCGGTGGGTGCTCCAAACGCACGACACGACGGTTAGACTGTGATGAGCTGTCCCAACCAGCTTGTCTAACTGTCTTCCAAAACGCGCTAATCGTAAAGCTAGAACCAACCCTAACCGATAATGTTAACCAGCACTGGTCGCTAATCAAGAATGCTATGCATTCTGTTGGCTTAGTTAGTTGTGGTCACGTCACGCCGTGACACCCTGGATCTCTGCGGAGTCTCTACGCCTTCTTGACGCACGTCGGTCTATTCCGACCGGCAGCGAGCATAATGAAA